TTTGAAAAAGTGGCATTTTTGTAAAAATTTCAAAAATATGACATTTTTGTAAAATGGCACTTGAAAAATGGTATTTTTTGAAATTTCTCTTTCTTGACCTTCTTTCCTAAAATAATTTAATTTTTCACCGAATCATTAGATTTGTTGGTAGACATATATACTCATGTAACAAATATGAGAAGAAAAAAAAGACTTGGCCATAAAATAGTTGAGTATTTGTCATCTAATCAGGTCCAGTCTAGACCGTACGCGTAGACAATAAGACAAGTGAAACAATTCTTTTAAAACCACACATATTTGAACGCCAATTTTAATGGACTTTTTTTTGTTTTTATTAATAAAAGCATATTATCAGAGTTCACGTTGTATATCACACGAGGAGTGACATTTATATGACGTAACATTAACCTACTCCGCTACTCGTGTAAAAAATTCATTTGTATTTTACAAGAATGGAAACAAAAATCACATGAGGGTTTTATGCTTTATAAATAGCAAAGGAAAAAATCTCACTTTCATGCTGAAAGTAAGGAAGCAGTGAAAAAGAGAGTTATTTGCAAAATTATTTTATACTTTTAACTTTCTTTCTCAAAAGGTATCATTTTTATAAAGTGACATTTAAAAAATGATATTTTTTGAAATTTTTTTTACTAACTAAACAACTTTTAACTTATTTTCTCGAGCCATATAACGGTTTTATTATTTATCATATACCTCATTTTATTTTATTTTTCATTGTTTTTTTTTTAACTTTCTTTCATTGTATGTTTTTAGTTAGTATTTGTGTAGTGTTGAGGTTATGGATAGGCTTTCTCTATCTGTTTATTCATTTAGATTTGAAAATCTTGATCGAAATGCCTACATAAATATATTTTGTTTTTGTTAATCAAGAGATTTCAGACCCAAGTCTATATTAATTGTCCAAAACTCTAAAAAAACAATAAAAATCACGATGAAAGAGTTTGAACTCTGCCAAAAAAATACTCCACTATTTAGAGTGAAGGAATCCTTCAACCACTAATATGCTCAAATACATGCATCTAACCCTAACTCGATTCCGTGACGACAATCATATATATTTACATTACATTTATTTAAGTTGTTTATTAAACCAAAGTATATGACGTAATTTCACTCTGTAATAATGGAAAGGATTCTATACTATATACAGGCCGTGCGAAGCTATTTAGGAGTCTAAGAAAAAAATTAAAAAGATATGTTCATCTCTTCTAAAATTGTTATATAAAACAATACTAAAGTTATGCTTTTTATAAAATTATGTTACCAAATCAATGTGAATAATGTATAAAATGTATATAGTATTGTAAAAACATACGATTTAGTAGTGTTATACAAAAATCTAGATGTAATTTTTGTTTTCCGAAGAGAAACTATACTATTTAATTACATAAAAAAAATTGTCCACTAAAATGTTATCGGTTTAGATCGTGCAAATATGATCATTTTTTATTCATTCTATCTAAAATCATTACTAACCATCGATATTGTAAAAGAAAGTCCCAAATATTTTTGAAAACTTGCCATTAAACAACTTAATTTTGAAAATTGGGGCCCTAAAATATATTAAAAAATTAGGGGGTCTAAGGCACTTGCCTATTTTAATAGGCACTAAGCACGGCCCTGACTATATATATATTAACTAAAAAAAAGATACTAGAGTAAAAAGACACTACAAAGTATATATATATTAATTAAAAAGATACTATAATAAAAAAAGTTAGGTGTCAATCAGAATATTTTAATTAAAAATATATGTCATTGTGGTATTTTTTACATACTTTCATTAATTTAATAACAAAAATCCATTAATAAATGTTTTACAAATTTAAACCCAAAAATATTTTAGATTAAGCATATCATTTACTATTATTAGTTTACTTTTTATGGGATATATTAACAAAAAATTTATAATTATATTTATAACAATATTATCCATTATGTATATATGTATTTAAATTAGTATACTATACAAATATTTTTTTTATTATGATATAGTCTATTATAAATATTTAATCACATTTACAAATATTTTTACATTTCATTATTAGAAAACGTATATTGTTTTTCATTTGTTATGTCCGACAAACTCATATAAATCTATTTAATTTATCGTATGCTCTATAATTAACACGAACTGACGAAGAATAATTTTATACTTAAAAGATATTGAAATAAATGACATTTGCATATGCTTTGATCAATTTTATACATAAAATATTAAAATTAATGACATCTATGTTTGATCAAAAGTATTTAACTTTATGCGCAATATATATCATTTTTTTACGTTTTCGATATTAAAAATTAGATGGTTTGTTATACACATTTAAAAATTAAAAAATTGTAGGTATTAAAATCATTAGCCAATCTATATACTTGGTGGTATAACAATTTTATATAAAATTATTTCATTAGGTGTTTGGTGTGGCTCAAAATTTAGTATATTGGTGGTTTAATGTCTTAGCCAGCCACTCTATTGGCTTCTTCTGACACAGATATTTGACATTGTGAAAAAAACAAGAAATAAATGGACTAATGGGTCCAAAAAATACTTGGTGGTAATATCTGTTGAGAATTTTAAGGTGTAACCTATTTATAGTGAATCATCTGTTTAATTAAAAAAGAATATAATTGTAGTTGGTGTGATCGATGCATACTAAAATTTAAAATGGTTGCAGTGGG